TATATATATATATATATATATATATATAGATATATATATTGATGAACAATACTTTTTAGAAATTTAATCGACTACAAGGCTACAAAGATTTATAATCAATTAAAAGTATTAATTAAGAAAGAGAAGAAAAATTATTAAATTAGATTCAAATGATTTTTTAATATAAACAATAATTTTTAAATCTTATCCCAACCCTAAACATCTAATGACTACGTGAGTAGAGTTTTTAAAACAACTCTTTGTTCGTTAACAGCTCGTATTCGGCTCGCTAAACAAATGAGTCGTACACAAACACACTTTTTGAACTCGAAATATAAACGAGCCGAACACGAGCTAAGCCTGGGCTTGCTCGTGTTCGGCGCGTTTACACCCCTAGTTGTAGTTATACCATACTCAAATAAATCACTCATCCAACTTGCATATATAAGATTGAAAATTAGAAGAAAAGAAAAATTGAATCAAAGTTGATCAATGGCATGCCTCAAGCAGTTTATTTAAAAACTCCTCATCCTTAAGTTAGTAGATATGTTTGGCACAATATAAGCTCGGTTCAGTTCTTAACATAAAACTTGGAAATTCATACGTGATACATTCAATGATCTTAAAAAAAAAGAAGATGCACAACAATTTCAACAAAACAGAATGAATAATCTCTTCTACAAAATTAACCCTAAATCTTCCAGCCTTATGTTATGGAAAATTAAAATATAATGCCAGCGCAGTGATGAAAAAAATAATCAAACAATGACAAAAAAAAACATTCTAGGAGTAAAAATACAATGTTATATATGATGCAAAAGTAGATAAACTTGTCTGGATGCATTAAAAAAAACCATCATAAACTTGCCATTGAGCTTGATAAAAGATCGGTTTAATTTAATTAAGAATCACAACATCCTCATAAAATTATAAGTTATACGAATTCGAACCTTTATAGCAGCTTCATTGCAGACATGGCATGTTACAACCTCATTATTGAGAAACCAACTACGCAAATCGAGAAAAGAACGGATCCCAAGACCAATTGTACCATCTGAAGTAGACGACAGCCACTGGTCCCGTATGAGTTCACTGAGAGTTTTTTCTTTCTGAGAAATAGTGAAAGTCTTAAATGCTGCAGGTATACGAGATTGGCTGTCCTGTGGAGCCTGTCCATCCTGGACTTGAAACAAAATATGAAGATTTACATACTTACCACTCAATTGCTATGTATTTAAATATCACACACCTAAACTTCATTTAAAAGTAAAAATAGTGATACTTTTGATGTGACACGAAAGATTTGTTGGTGTTGACTTAAAAAGTAAAGTTTAGGGGTTAGATATGTAATATATAGGAATAGGATGGTATGTTGGAAAATGCCCAACAAAATAGTTATTGAGTTTGTTAATAAGAAAAAATAGCATTCATTTCATTGACATACAATGGATTTTCATGCTTATTAAATGCCCTATAAACACAACACTATGTGCAATTTGCAAAACCAGTATTTTACCTCGGCACTTTCTTTGGCTTACCTATAAGAATATTAAGTGTATGAAGAGAATGTAGCACCTAATAAGACCCAAAGAGATACGTATGAATTGTTTGTGATGGCACGTAAAACAAAAATCTCAAATGTCAACTGCATAGACACAAGCACGGTGGGTATGCCAAAGTTTAGAATATCAAAACATTAAGGGTGTGTGCAGCTTATCCAATGCGGCGCGGCCCGCTACCGCGGTTCCGTTTGTTTGTTTGGTGCGGCGCAGGCGCATTTTATTAAACACGCCCGATAAGCCTCACCGCGATCTCGTCCCGGCTTCTTCAGCTTTATTTGGAATTCTTTACCCCCTGCCCTCTCTCCCACTCGGCCTCGCCCCGCAAGCGATCTGCCTAGGGTATTTTGCCTACTACTCTTCGCTCACCGACACATCTGGATAGGATTTTTGTTGATGTTTACTTCTTTTTTCCTTTGTTATCCTCTCCTCATATCTTCTTCATTGATTTGCTCTATGAGTGTGTGATTTTCACAAAGAATTTTTTTTTTTGAGATTTTTACATACATAGCACTGATGACATCTTTTTTTCTCTATTTTCGGTGGCTACAACCCCAATTTTTCAATATGATATGCAATTTCAATCACTTTGTAGTCTTTGGTTGATGCATACATAGCATCGGCTCCTAGGTTGGTTTTGTTTTTTTTAGTATGATTATATTCCTATCTCCCTAAAGATTTTGACATTTTTGCTTCATTTTTCCTACGTTGATTTGTGATATATGACTGCAAATTTGAGAAATGCTTAGAGCGATATATGATTTTGACATTTTTACTTCCTACACTGATTTGTGATATATGAGTGTGAATTTGAGAAATGCTTAGAGCGATATATAAACAACAGTCTTTTAGCTGTTGTGTATTTCATTAATATGGATTGATATTTCATGAAAAATTTTGATATTTTATAAAAATATTGAGCAAATGATGATAGCTGGTGGTGCATTTGTTAACAAAAATGTTTAAGGTGCTATGTATGTTATGAATATGGATTGGGAATTTCAGATGCAAGCTGATTTTACCAACAATGTTTCAGGTGCTCCTTTTTCTGTGAGAATTTTAGAATATTTCGGATAAATGTTGGTTTTTTTTTTTTACTTCAACACTAATCATCCTATTTACATCAAGTAAATATTATTTAGTCGATGTTGGCTATCAATTGAACAAGGGTATCTGAAGCCCTATCCTAATATGAAATCTCACATACCTGAATTTGAGAGAACCAACAATGTCACGCCGAGCAGGAGAGAAATGTTCAACAAAAGACACTTCTCCTTACATGGTGTGATTGAGAGGACTTTTTGAGTTTGAAAGAATAAATGAATTATACTTCGTGATATGTCAAACTATTTGTTTCTCAAGCAGGTGTAGATTGTGATTGTCATGATTGTTCTCCACAAATCTATTCGACGACATCCTTCGCACAACGACATTGATTTCTGTGAGGCGGATGAGTATCATTCACATGTCCCTGCAGAGACATATGAATATCGTCTTGGACAGTCTTTGGCACGTGCTGAAAATAACTCAAGATTAGGAAGGTGCAAACGAGATGACGGAGTAGAGAGAACGAATTACGAATGCTATAGTTAGAGAGTGATTAGAGGGAACACTAATTTTATTTTTGATTATTGTAATGATTGTTGGAAACATTCACTGTTTATTGTATCAGTATTTCATACAAGTCATGTATATTCATGTTTCTTATGCATTTGATATTTATTGTATCAATTTTTTTTGCAAGTAATATGTACTTCTTTTCCTTTTGGATCTATTTTTCTCCCACTTGGATGACTAGTGATGCAACCATGGGTAATATATGTATCCTAAATATTGCATTTTTTTTTTTGTGGATTTTGGAAGTCTATAATGAAATGTTTCACTTTATGGGCCCTTTTGGACGACATGCATATCACTATCGGCTTATGTCACATGTGAAATCCTAATGAAGGCAATCATGTTCTACTTATTTATCAATGGTATGATTTTTTAGGTTCTTCTCGATGATTTTTTTTTTGTGATATGTATATGTGACACACGTGTTGGGTATTACATGGGTTAAAGACAACCAATAACCATTTTTTATAAGGTTTGTTGTCTTCTTGTAGTGACAGATTTGTTGATACATTGAGTTCTTTGAGATCTCACTATTACGTAAAACTTTAATTAATTACTTCTGTATTAATTTTTACTAGTATCATATCTAACGATATCTGTTTTTAAGCCTTCAGAAAAGATGAGCTCTAGAAATTCCGGTACCTCCAAATGATTGTACTGCTACTGCGAACTACAATGTTCCATGCTTACTTCGCGACAACCACATAGCTACAGGAGACAGTTTTACTGGCGTCTAAGGAGAAGAACAGAAAACTGGCTTCTTCAGGTGGGCAGATGGGTTGGAGAATTCCACCACAGAGAGTGATTGAACATGACGAGTTTTTTTTGTAGAACGGCTTATCTCATGATCTACATCAGCTACATTTTAAAAATAATACCAAATTATTGATTGTTATTTTAGTAGTTTTTTTTTTAATTTTGATAGTCGTGTTACTCACTGTTTAGTGAAGTGTTTATTTTTATTTTGTAAGGTTCAAACTGAATATTTCCTTTCAAGTATGAGATGAGCTAGTATGAACAATTATATTGTAAACATCATTACAGTACAGGGACAAAATAATCATTTATTCAGAAACAACTGTAACACAGCTGTTTTCAAACTGCAAAAAACAAAAAGACAGCCAGCTTATCCACAACAGCTTCTGCGCAGGAAAATTCTAACCCTAAACCCTAAAAGACAGCCAACTTATTAATAAGTTGCAGCTACCCCAAACCAAAGCCTGTGCAAATTATACTTTGATTTCTCAACGAGCTAATTAAGGCTTAAAAGTTGGGTTAACTAAACTAAAACAGTCCGCTAATAATTTCTTAATTTGCTCAATGAGCTCACCCAATCCTCCCTGATAGACTTCAATCATCATAAATTTTAAACAGCAAAGCAACAAATCTAAGATAAAAATAAAATTGGAGACTTGGAAAGGCATTAATATCATAATAGTCAATTATTAGCTAAAAAAGAAACAAGCCCCAATACTTCCAGTAGCAAGCTCTGACAATAAGGCTTGAACATAAAGAATTAAGGAGTCGTTTAGTTGCTAGCATTTTGAACACATTTATTTTTGACATTCAGGAAAATAGGAATACTGCAACACATCCCAAAGAGATCGACAATAAAGGTTACAATAAGCACAATACGTTTTTTCTTGGGAAGCGTGTTATCAAAACACATCATAAAAAAAATACCCTTTTTTTAAAATGATTTATTTAGGCAATGAAGCTTTACAAATAAAATAAATAAAGTATTTTCGATTTAGATAGAGCTGTTTGATTGTATATAAATCAAATATCGTGAAACTAATTTTTTTCTTGGTTTGAGATGAAGTCTGAAGTTTGATCCAACCAAAATAAAAATGGTGAGATTGCCTCCCATGCAAATGATTTTGCTCCCACAAAAAAAATGGAAAGATTGCAACCTACGCAGAAAGCAACATACCAAGTATTGCTCATAAAATATTTGGAATAACCTTTGAGATGCTTCTACAAATAATCCAAAATTATCCCCTTTTCCACTTGCGTGGCGTGGCACCTCTAGAGCAAATGCACAAATCATTAGAAGTCTACACTACTCATGAATGGAGATGAAGGATGCTCAAACGGCAATAAAAGATTGATAAGATAATGCTAAGCATAAAATAAACTAGATGCAAGTAATTTTAGCGCCATCTACATTTTCGGGAATAGAAAAAATTTATGTTTGAGTTATCAATCACATCTACTTTACAAGCATCAGGAAAATCTGAAGTTTGAGGTCTTAGAATTTAGGCTAGCAAGAATACTCAAAACTTTTAAAAAATCTGGTAGATTGCTTAGCCAACTCAGTTAATTTTAACTTTTTGAGTAGAATTTCAAGCTAAGGCGCAGAGCTCAAAGTCATTTCAGATGGATACTTAAGTATGCAGTTGATTGCTTGATATACAATTTAAATGAACCCACAAACTTTGATATATTTGTTTATATTTGATACACACCATAATCAAACTATTAGTTGGTCCATTGCTAAAGCTTTGTAATGAGTTCAATCCTCCTTCCAACAAGTATTTTTGCTAATAATATCGAGTCAAACTCATAATTTTTTCCAAGCATATTTACAATTTAATTCAAGCAAGGCGAAACCAAGTCAAGTCAGTTTGACTCATAATTAAATCAATTTCGAGCCCGGTTCAAGACCAATAAAACTCGAAAATGGGTTGAGTTGAATTCACTTTACTTCATAACTAAAATAGTAAATTTTAAGATACATGCAAAACTTCTATTTTTATCTCAAACCACATAGCCCATGTGTTAAGAAAAGAGGAAACATAAACTAGCAGCTTCATAAGAAGCTAGGGAAGATTTAATTCAATTATAAATATTGCATTAGATTTAGAAAGATTTCTTTTCCTGCAAAACAAATGAATGTCGTAATTATAATGTTTAAGTAGGAAAAACTGCAACATAAGCATAATACTTAAAGCATTAAAATATGCATAAAAAGCTTTGTAATCAAAATGTAAAGCAAGAAAGAATTTCATAAATTAGGAATAATAGGAGTAACAGGAATCAAAACCTGATTTTCCAGGCGAATATTTAGAGCATCAATACTGGTTATACATCCTTGATTCATTCCCTTCAAAACCATTGCTTCTAACTGCATGAGATTGATCGATAAAAGATTACTACAAAGAATGGCAAGTTAACTAACTCGTACTTGTAGAAAGGCAATAATATCATAGACAGGGTACCAAACTTCATCCAAAAACAGTACATATCGTATAACAAGTACTGTCTACAAAAAAATACTTGTGGTAACCGCCCAAGAATCCAGTATAGTACATGGCTTATGAAATAAGCAAGGAAAATATAGAAACCAAAGAATATTGACAAAACTTATTGCATCAATAATTGAAATATTGAATGTATGTTGCAGAACTTCTTTCATGAACAATACATATGTTCCCTTTATAGATATACTTAATTTAGACTCAGAAGGAAAATGCCGAAAGTTAAATAAAACATAAAATAATTTTGTGGTCCAATTAGGCAGCAACAGCTTCTGAATTTTGTTAGAAAAATCCTTCTCGCTAATTAGTCGTCAAATTTTTTTTTCATATTTTAAATACTTTATTTAGAACATTTGCAGGAATAATAACAAATTGTCAATTAGCTATTTGGGGATGTCCTTCATAATATCTTCAGTATTTTTTCAAAGGAAACTTACCTACATACCACACATGTCTTATGGATATACATATCTAACACCTAAAGTTTGATATTTACATTTATAACACCACAGTGCTATAAACCTATGCATAAAAAGGTGCATTCAAGCTTTAAAAAGTTCATAAAAGTGGTATTTTTTATGTGACGTTGAAGAATTGAGTGCTATGAATGTAAATATTAATTTTTGAATGTTATATATATATGTAAATGCATAAGAATTGTGTGCTGTGTATGTAAATGCCCCGTTTTTTTTAAATGAATGTCCAGGGTAACATCATTATCATTACAAAAGAAATTCACATTATTTTATAAAAGAATTAAGATGTCAATAAATTTATATGCATAGAATCATCGCACACAACTCTTGAATAAGAAATTGCACGCATTATCCTCTCAGAAGTAAAAGGTTATCGAACTTACAATAGCCTTATAAAACACAATCTGTGGTACAGAATACTTTGTTCCAAGCTTGGATTGCTCATCAGAAACATTGTTAACAATTCCATAATAAATGCTTCCATCATATTGGTCCATGCATGCTCGTAGCTCAAATTGGACAAAATCCAACCACTTGTTTATCTTGAGCAGACAATCATTGAACAGTTGCTTGTGTGTAACTGCATACAACAGCATGAGCTATTATAAGCATGAAAATTAAGTGCTACGGAAATATAAAAGCAAAACCTATTTCCCCAACAAATTTCAAGGAAAGACCTTTTTTTTCTCATACAGGCTAATAAATAATCCTAGACTTCTATTAAGATAAATTCGGAAAAAAGACTAAATTGCCAGTGAAAAAATAATGTAAAAGATGAATAGAAGAATGGACCAACGGATGAAAATTGAGTAAGTCCTAAAAACTAGAATCATGCTGAAATAAATTCATGATAAATATATGTTCTTATGTTCCACGCAATTTGAGTTTACAATCTGCAAATCTTTATAACAAGAACATTGATCTGTGTTTATGGCATGCTTCATTTTTATTTGAATAAAAGTATGATCTAGAGGTTGCTTGGTTCACCAACATCTACTATGACAAGTTATACTATTAGGAATGTAAGCTATTTGGTTAAATGGCATACTTAAATAATAATTTTGTGACACTATATTACAATTCAATGACATGAAGATGCAAATCAAATTAATAAAGAGGCCAAACTAAATGACAAAATTAAGAAAGAGCATAGTCACCATTGATCCTTCTAAATAATATTACAATATTTAAGATATAATTGACCCACCGTTTCATAAATGACATTACTTCACTTTCGATGACAACAAAATGTAAGTCAAATAAACCAATTTCAAGTTGAAAGGCATCTAATGGCCAAGTAAATGAAAAAATAATAAAGAAAGAACAGCTGTGCAACTTTCAATCACATGAACATGCGCTTACATTTACATATAAAATCTTTTCACATCAATAAAATAAAATCATGAACCCAGCTCGGCTTAAAGAACGACGTGGAATAAAAGGCTGCAGCCATGGCTGTGTTAAAGAGGAACTAAATCGTTAAATGCCGAACTCATATCACTCAATATCAACAAAGAAAGCAACCTAATGAACTTCAAAATTATCGATAAAATCCCTATTCTTAAAATAAAGAAAACAACCTAATTAACCTGGATTTTTCCCAGTGATACCAGCGAAAATGTCGTGAAACTCTCGCTCCTTTAGCGGGCCACGAGACAAAAGCGCCTGAATTAAAGCGTGGTGTTCCCAACCCAACGGTGCCATTCTGACGCATCAACCACCGATCTAAAAACCCTAACTCTCGTCGGGTAAGCGAAAGCAATTGGCTTCAAAGGGTTGACCAAGAAACAAATCCACGCCAAAGGAAACCCTAATGATCTCTGTGAGAGAGTAAGAGGGAGATGAAAGATGCTTTCCTTCGCCTCTTCTACTGGCGGGAAAAATGCGGGCTTGTGCTGCGAAATTGATAGCCAACGAGGGCGACGCTGAGATTTTCGCCTCGCTACAATAAAATTTTCAGGAAATTACTGAAACAACTTTTAAAAGTAAGATAAATTTTACTTTTGGTCAAATATGGCCTAATTTGGTACTTAAAAAATGTATCGGAATATTTATTTTTTACAAAAGTACATTTCATGTGCATATATCAATATGTCATGAAAATATAAAACTATATTCTTAAACACTTGAGTATTCTTTATTGTTAATTTTATTATTCATTTGTCTTAGATTTTTTTTTCTGGCAGCATAATATCACAGACAAATAGTCTCATATCGGCTAGGTGTAGGGCCGAAAAACAGTATTTAAGTCCTGGGCTGCCCACTACCCCTAAGAGCTCCTAAGAGAGAGCTCTTTTGGGAGGTGACAATAAACTCGCACGAATTCATTCAATAAAAAAAATTATTGTAACTCTGAATTCAACATACATGCATAAGGGATTTTCTTTATGTTTAAATCCTGAGTGATCAGAATGAATTTGAACATTTTGATGATAGGCATGATCAAATAGATTATTTTAAATCATTATCAAATAATGTTCCGCCAACTCATTTTTTATTTTTGTTCTAACATTGTTCAAATTTTATTGTCTGAATCATATTTGAATTAATATGAACATTTATTTGAACTAAGTTTTGAAATATTTGACATCAATTTTGATAAAGGCAGTATGAGATCGTGTTATGGGGGGTGACTGTCAAAAAGTTGTAATCAAATATTTTTTTTAAAAAAATTGTAATAGTCACCATAGATTCATGAACAATATCTTCTTTTATAATAACTTCTTATATCTTTTTTTAAATAGTTGCAATTGCCCCAAACAAATCATAAATCAAACCCCAAGCCACCCTCTTAGGCTTAAGTTTCCATTCTAGCATTTCCTAGCCGCCTTCCTAGTCATAGTGTGGCTAACCCAAATTATTCTATTTAATTCCAAATGTGCTTTAATTGAACCTTAGGCCAACTTATGTAGATGGGAGTTCAACAAGAAGTTCACTTTGGAGCTTGGAGAATCCTATTTAGATTTGTCAATCAAATTTAAATAAAATTAACAATTGACTTGTTGAACCAAAATCAATTTGGATAAATCAAAATTTTGTCAAACAGAACAATAATTAGGTCAATGAGTCATATGACTTATTACTGAAACAAATGAACTATCAAAGGCTTGGAATCTCCAAATCTTAATGAAAGTGAAATTAAACTTGGGCATATAATTCCTTAAATCAAAACCAAATTAGTCAAATAAGGATGAAGCCAATTGACTTCTAATTACATAACTCATTATGAACCCAACTAAATCATAATGAGTTAAATCAATCTAATTAATCATAAATTGAATTCAAAATTAGCAAAACAAAGTCTCGTCCTAGGTTAGTCACTTGTGTAATTTTAAAGCCATTTAAGTTAAGCTAAGTCCAACATAAATCTATCAGAATCAAACTCAAATTTCCTCGTTTAAAATCACAATAGGCTAAAATGAATTATACTTAAAATAACTGCTACCAAAATGACATGAATGTTTCCATGAGGCCCTTAGAGACTCTACCAAGCAAACCCAACCCTAAGCTGAGCTCAGTATAACCCAAACCAAGCATAAATTAAACCTAAACAAAGTCCAACCATTGTCCTAAAGGAATTTATCTCCAATTTAACTTACTTAAGATCAAACCAAGGTCATAAGAATTAATTAAACATCTTTTAAACAAACCTAAATCAATTATTAAGCTACCCATCTGCTCAAAACTCCACTAGAAGCCAAACCATTGAGTCCAAATAAATTTAAAATATCAAATTAACTCATTAAACTTGAAACCTAAACATTAAAATTTTAATTAAGTACTTCTTGAGCCCATCCAAGTCATTTCTGATTATGTTTAATCGTTAAGTGTTAAGTTACAAACTCACACAAGTCTTTTTAAACTAATTTCAATAGTGGTAAATCAACTACAACCCAAGTGAATATGATCAAGGTGATTTTAATTGATTCCACCCAATCAGCTTTGAACAACCTCTGATACCACTTAAACAGCCTTAACCCACTTAGCATCCTCTTAGTGGGTTAGCCTTGACTATATTAAGACTCGAAGAAAACCCATATGTACTCATACAAGGAAAAAACCTTAGTATATTTTAACGAGAGGGGGATTTATTTTAGTAGAGTGTTATTGCTTTCAAACCACTCATAAAGTTAACAAAAACCATCTAAAGCCCTCACCTCATTTGATTATCCACCTAAACCCAATAAACACTAACCCGCAAACAAAATTTACTTCCATATTTAAAGGAAAGAAGTGCATACAAGATCGAGTTTTTGAAAGTCCGGGAGGAGAAATTGAACGAGTTATTGCAGAGCGGAGGTGAGAAAACTTTTGTTACACCACCAATAAAGCTGATGCAAATGTTGTGAAGGAGTTCTACGCTAATGTGATTTATTCTGATGACGAAATCGTTCAAGTGCGTGGATTCCCTGTTGAGTTTACTACCGCCCGCATCAACACTTTTTATGAAGTCCCAGACTCTTACAGCCGCCAATATGAATCCTTTAGTACAATGGAAGGCCCCCTCAATGAT